AGATATATAATAAGACTAAGATTTGCAATGAACTGAGGAAACGTGTGTATATATATATATAACAAAAAATAGGGTTTCACTTATAATAAGATCTAACTAAAAAAACAATCGAAAATATCTATTAGTTAAATTAGAAATTAGAAAATCATAAAATAATTACAAAAATTTGAAAAGATTATGATGGAAATATTGTGGCAGACATTATGGAAATTTTAATATAAGATATATGACACAATTATAATAGAAGATTACCACTAAATCTTGAATATATATTTCCTTAATAAATATATAAGGCCAATATAAATATAAATTCGTTTTTGTTTTTAATTAAAGAAAAAAATCGATGGCACATAAAATAATTAAGCAATTTCATTAAGGGTATTTTCGACAAAGCAAATCTTAAACTTGCTGTGAGAGCGACAAGTAGGATTTTTGACCTCACAATTATAAATATAGATGTTTCATTTTTGCCTTTTGGATCAACCCGACCCGATTCCTCTTTGGACTCCAACCCGGAAATTTTTCAGTGAGTTTCTCTTATTATCCGATTGGGTTCGCATAATCATTCTTTTGCAGTTGGAGTTATCAGATTCTTGATAAATAGAATCACATTGCTTTGGATTAGATTGTGTGTTAGTGTGTGAACAAGAATTGAATCGAAAGTTTGAAAATTGCATTTGTAGATTGTAAGTTTAGAATGGATTTGCATGGTGATACGCATGGTCTAGTGGCAATCAACCTTTTTACTAGGGGTTAGTATCAATTAAGGTTAAAGTACTAAGAGTTAATTAATTGTGGTTATTCTTTAAGTAACCATGGTTTAGTTAGGTTATCTATCAGACACTATCTATATATTAGCGTTGACGATTTGGGGAAGAGGTTCATTGAGAGTTTGGTCGATCAATTAGGGGGAGTGGGAGAAGCTCCATTATCAAATTCCTCATGTTCTTTTGTAATTAATTCCATAATCATTATCTATAAATCAGTATTTTATAAGCTACACGTATCAATTCGGTATCAGGAGACCTGAAAATTTGGGAAACAAATGGCATCTCTGATGTTGAGTGTGTTGGAGAGGTTGGCACAAATGATGATAGAGGAAGAACAAAAGATGATCGACGAAGATAAAAAAAGGTTCCTTTGTGTGAAATCTATATAATTTTAACTCAAATCTATATAATTTTAACTCATAGTTGGACCAATTATAAATTTATCATTAATTACATGTATTTATTTTTATTTTGGAAAATTAATTAAGGGAAAATTGAAAATAAAGGATGTTTTTTTTTAAGTTTGCCCATCTATACCTTTATTATTTAAGTTTGGTGATATATACTTTAATTTAGTTAAAATCCTATTATGCCCTTAATCATAAATATTTGATTTAATCATATTTTATGGAGTAATTTACAATAATATTTATTGGCTCAGTTGGTTGATGAGTTAGAAATTCTTGATTCATGTCTCAAGTTCGAGGCTTCCTTATTT